AGGAGAAGGAGAGCCGGGGATCGCAGCCGGCGGCGGGCGGGCGGCGCGGAGCCCGGGACTTCTTCGGGGAGCTGCGAGCCGAGCTGGGCGCCGCCGTACCGCCACCCGCTGCTGCCCCGCCGGCCGTGGAGATCGTTGTGTTCCGGGGGAGGAAGAGGAAAGAGCGGCCCAGCCCCTCAGCAGCGCCCGTAGCCGGCGGCCAGGTAGGGCCGGTGGGGTTGGGGCTGCCGAGCCCCCCTGCAGACCCGCCCGCTCCTGCAGCCGTGGCTGCTGCTAGCCCCAGCCAGGGGCCTTCTTGTGGCTGATGCTCTCCTTAAGCACGGCACCAATTAACAATTAGCAACTTACTGGTTATTTAAGTCACAGAGTTTGGTTGGTTGTTTTTAAAGCCACAGCAGAGACTTGACATTGAGCAGGTGCTCTTCTGCGTTGCCCCTTTCTGGAAACAGTTAAAACCAAACAGACTGATGTTAGGCTTGCTAGTAAAATGCTCTGAAAATAGTGAGGTTGGTTTGTGGTTGAAGTGGACAGCTTTATGTAGAAGCTTTTGCAGAGTTCAGAGAAGTTTGAGTGTGCCTCTGGTGGATGCAGAGGGAAGCCGTGATGTAACCCTGGAATCTGAACCTGTGCCTCTGTGCAACTTAACGTCCTGCGAGTGAAAAGGAAATGCTTTAAGAGCATTCAGGTTCAGTTTTAACACATATTTAGTATTCCTGCTTCCTCAGGGGGGACAGTGCCCTTGAGAGCGAACAGGAAAAGATGAGCAGATGCTACTTTTGAAGAGACCACAGTTTCCCTGTCTGTGCTACCTGCCAGCATCGGAGTGCTTGGGAGCGGGCAGAGCATCCACTTGGGGAGGTGGTTCAGCACCTGCTCCCCCAGCGCATGAATCGGACACAAACTAAAATAATCCTGGAGATCTGTTACTGCTCCAATGTGTCCCCTGTAAGCAGTCCCACAGCAAGCAGATGCAGACCTTTCCCCTGTGATTTTGTACTTTTTCTTCATAGGATTTATTCTGTCTGCCCTGGAAAGTTCCCCTCCAAACTGAGAACTTCTGATGGAAGGTCTCTGTGTAAATCATGGAGTAGAAAAGATGTAGTTTTCACTGATCTCATTTTGAGCATGTAGTTTCTTTGAACAGCATTAAGATTGTTTAAGTGGGGTCTGCCATTTGCTGGCAGTGCTTCATTCGGAGCTGATTCTCATACATTAGTTAAGCTGGGTGTGTGCAGTGATATGCCTGTGCAGTTGCGAATTAAGCTTCTTCTGCATGTTGCCACCGCTATCGGTACGTGCGCTGTTACAAATCTGCTCTCTCTCTGTCTCTAACAAAATGACTTAAAGTTCATGTCCTTTCCTGCACTAGCAGTTTGGTACCGATTTGGAGATGGAAATATGCATGATGCATAGCTCACATGTGGCAGTTTTTCTCTTATAAAATGTAATTTCTACTTGAAGGCATAAAAATTAATTGCAGCTATTAGTATATTTCTGAATTATGTAACTTGTTGTAAAATGTAGCAGATGATCCAGGCAAGAAAATGCCAGACAAAGCTATATGCTCTGTGCTATAATGGTATCCTATAAATTGCGCAAGGTTGTTCCCATAAGACCCTATAATATCTGCATATTAAAAGTGTCGTTGAGACTGCCACTTTTAATGAAGCCAGATAATAAAGCTAGCGGCTACAAAGCTATACACTGTTACCTACCATGTATTTTATATTTCGTTGCTTTCCAAAAAAGTATCACAATCAGCATTTAAACTGCTGTTACTTGTAATATTAATTCAAAGTGTTTCATTTTGTTTGTAGACTAAAATAGTGGACAAAGAGAAAAATGAAAAGGAGCAAGAGTTTAACTTTGAAAAAGTAAGTCAATGGGACCTATCAAATCTCAATACTTTAGTGTGCAGGTGTGTGTATTTACATGCTTGGGAAAGCTACAGTGGGAGCAATGAGAAACGCTTCTAGAAAAGGTTATCTCTTGTAGGTAAGGATTTCCTAATAGCTGATTTTGGCTGTGTGCCATGCCAGAGGAGGAGTGTGCTGGCTGTTGTCAACTGCTCTGTGTGAAGACAGGCGCGTTACAGCTCTGTGGCCTTTCTTTCTGATTTTTCTGTGAGAATTTGAGGAGGATCGCTGTATGTTAGCTGTGTAAAGCTATGTGAGTACCCGTAACGTATAGCGTTGCCCTTTCAGGCCTATGATGTTAATCTTGGATTTCTGATCTCATGGAGGTGGGGGGGGAACCGTATTGGCATCTGTTTTTGAAACAGCAGATTACTTTTTCCATTTGTCTTTTTGTTCTCATCTGTTCCTCTATGAGCATAAGTAGCATTGGCCTTCTGAGATCTTGATTTGTTTGCAGATCTGCAAGTTGTTTTAAATGCCTGATCTCTGCTCAGAGAAATCTCTCACTGGAGCTGCTGCATGGAGCTGAGAACAGAGACAATTTAACCATTGCCTTTAAAAAGACTATAAACTCACCACTGGTTTTGCCAGGGTATTCTTGTATAGTGTCAACTACACATACATAGGTAGTCAAACCACTTCACCACTTGCCCATCCATGTTTCTCACTGCACCCAAGGAATGAGGATGCTCTGTAAATGTTGGGCACTGTGGGTAGCACATCTCATTGTTCGTTGTGCAGCACAGCACGATTGATTTTTATATAAAGGAGATCCATTCCATGTGTTGTCTTATGTGAAATGAGGACAATCAAAAATTGTCCCCGTGACAGTCCTCACCATCCAGAAATTAGGTGGACACTGGTTAACTGTTCTGCGATATAGCTCTAAACTCAGTTAGTTTTATTTTATAGCATGCTGATTTCAGGTATTAGCCAGGGTTTCTTTGGGAGTATGACTTTGTCATGGTCTGTCAAGCGTTATTTTACAACTGGCTAGACAAATTATGAAATGCTTGCAATTTTCTGTAATGTTTTAGGCTCGTTTGGAAGTGCACAAGTTTGGAATCACTGGCTACAAGAAGCAAGAACAACGCATGTGGGAACAAGAGCGTGCCATCATGCTGGGAGCCAAGGTAATTTTGTTGTGTGGTTTGTGCTGGGCGGTCATCCAGCTGTTACAGTGCAGGAAAGCTGTAAAAAACACTGGGCATGTTCAGCACTACTTCTTTAAAACCCTGATTCTACCCACTTTCCCCTCCCCTGATCCTTCTCCCACTTCATTGTTGCTTTTATGTTTTCTATTCTGTCTTGTCTGTTTTCTGTAGAAGTTTGGCAAATTAGTATAGTTGTATTATCAGGGATGTTGTTTAGATGAAATGTGACTGATCGGGGTAGATCAGGCCATTCAAAACTAAACTGTTGGAGGGAGGGGCTTGCTTTTTAAAGCTTCACTCTCCCAGTGAGTTAAAGATGGAAAACATTTTTGAGTTTTGTTTATAGTCTGTACTGTAAAAGAAAAAAAAAATTCTAGGTCTTTTTTGGGGGGTGGAGAGGGATATGGGTTTTCTTTCTAGCTCAGTGTGTACATGGAAACCTTGTAGGACTAATAGAGAGCATAAACATCCCTCTATGCTGTCTTGATCAAGAAAAGTACAGTTTCTATGTGTCTACCTTACATCTCTTAAGTCCCTTTCTCTCACCCAAAAGGAAACAAGCCTTTTCTAATATTTCACCACCACTGCCTGAAAAATATTTTGCATGCAAGTGTGTGAATATTTTTTGAACCTATTTGAAAATCTCATCAGCGGTATCCCTCCCAATCTTTATTGCAGCCCCCCAAAAAGGAGCATGTGAACTACAAGACTTACCAAGAGAAAATGAAAGAGGAAAAAGCAGCAAAGGATGATGATAACGGAGAGGTTGGTGTGACATTTTCAGCATAAAAAGGCAGCATGTGAGAGCTAGCCCAAAAGCCTGACAGATAATACCTCAGGCACAGGAGGAGTGCCCAAGCTTGACACCTGCTGCTCCCCACAGAGTGGGTTCCTGGCTCCAGCAGAACTGATTTCATCGGTACAAGCTGGTTGTGTGCAGTATGAAGGGCACAGAGTTAGGCTTGTGTTGTGATGGGTTTCACTGCCTTATCCTTTGAGGCTGATAGACTGATGACGCAAAATCAGCAGTTGTTTTTTCCTGGCCTCTTAAGGGGAAAAAAATGGTGTTCAATTAAAGCTTGTCGCATGTTGTCTAACCATAGAGAGCTGGATCTTCAGCTGGTTTTATATCGGCACAATTCCATCTAGGATCTCGCTCACTATTTAAAGGAAGGGTGAGGTTTCTGTTGCATCCATCCTCTAGCACAGCCTGTCTGGCTCCAAGCCTACTCCCTGCCTCCCCATGGAGCCTTCTCATGTAGGTGGAAGCAGGCTGTGGGGTGGATAATTGGACTATCAGCCTCTTTAATTGGACTATCAGCCAGTTTCCTGCCACCCACTTTCCCAGGGGACCTACTTCTCCTCCTCTGTCATGCTCAAAGTGCATCCTGTGCATGACCAGACACAGGCAAGCCCTGTCATTTGACAGGTACACTCAGGCGACTTGGCACACCTGCCAGGTAGCAAGTCCAGCTTTTGATCTAAGGATCTGTCACATGCCCAAGAATCAAACCTCTCTCCCACTGTGTGGCTGGATTTGTGCCACCTTACGTGGCAGGGGCAGTGTGTTGGTCACAAGAGGGCTGTACTTTCTGTAAGGTGACAGGAAGGACTCTGGGCACATCTAGCAGTGCCTCCATAACGTGTTGCATCACTTGGCCTGTCAGAAGGTCCCCCACCCTGATTTAAATGCCTGCTGCTCTGTGAAGCAAAGGCTACCATGTCTTTTGTGTGCAGATGGTTGATTAGCCAAGACGTTCTGTTCCTTTTCCATTAAACTATGTGTCTTTATAAACAGGAACATAAAGGTGATTCTCTTAAGAAGAAGAAAGAAAAGAAGGAGAGGTGAGCTGGTGTTAATGTGGTTAAAATTAATATGCTTTTATATAGCCTCCGCAGTGTATTGACCCTACATACCTAGGCACAGTCTTAAACCACAAGTCATGGAGATTACAGTGAAAGGAATGTCTCCAACTGCAGAACAACAAAATGTTAGTCACAAAATGGTGACCTTGCTCTGTGTCTAGCAGTCTCAGAGGCCTTTAGTTACACAGCTTAACTGAAAATGTGTCGGTTCTGCCGCGACATGTCTAAGACCAGCTGGAGCTGAGGGGAATGGAAATCCCTGTGTGTGGACCCAGGGTATGCCACTCACTCTGAGCCTGGGGGAATAATTTTTGCAAAACACAAGCTACAGTATACAGAGGCTTAAAAGGTTGTTAAGTGGCATTTTTAATCACAGCGTAGCAGGTTCACTGCAATGGACTCACTCTCTCTGAAAGTCTTTGTTTCAAGTCTTTAAACTTGTTTTAAAATGTAATTCATTACATAATGTACTGCAAATTTTGAATGAGTGTGCAGGTAATAAATGTTCTGGGATCATTACCTACTATAATTTAGTATTTCATAATACCAAACACTTGACTGCATAAATAGGTGACATGTTTTACCATATTGAGCATTTTAATGAGTTTCTGGTGTTTTTCTTAATTCACTTTTTTCCCCCCTTCCTATTTCAGAAAGGGTAAAAGGAAGAAACCGATGCCTAGTATCTGGCCTGCAGGTCAAGTTGGAAAATTCAGAGATGGGACCTTGATTCTGCAAAGCTATGACATAAAGAAGATTAAATCATCTAAAGTTATCAAATGAACTTATGATACAGAGTGAAATGGACAATACCTGTAAGATGGAATTCATGTTGCCACCAACACAGACTTACAGAGCCTCTCACTGTCCCACCATGTTCTAATTCTTTAACCTCATTTTTTGTTGAAGGATTTCTTATCTTCTATTTTGTCTTGGGCAGAAAATGAGAATTTACCATTTTATAAATAAAAATAAGGCTTTTTATTAAGAAGGTTACACAGGCTGTCTTCATTAGTCAATATAGAAAGCATTTAACTTTGCAGAATCAATTTATTTGCTGTAAGTAAAATACTCATTTAATCCATTGATGGTTTAAAATATATAGCTCTTTGGTTTTATCTGGAAGGAATATGGAAAAACCAATACCTTATTTGCTCTGAACCTGAAGTAGGTATTCTGAAACACTTATCAGGCATACATCTGTTTCTGTATCTATATGAATTGTTAGTGGATAGTAGAACTGCACAACAGTTTTCCTGTCCAGCAAAACCTCTTACGGTTTCAAAATTATCTGCTTTGGGATGGGAATGAGATTTTCTCATGGTTTAACCTGGCAAACATCTAAACACATGCAGTTTGCTTGCTTAACTCCGCCCCCCTCCCCCACTCCCTAGTGGGTTGGGACAGAGAATCAGGAGAGTGAAAATAAAGAACTTGCCAGTTGGGATAAAGAGTATTTAGTAGCTAAAACAAGCCAAACTTAAATAATAATAATGCCAATTAACTGTAACAATGCTATGATGATATAGCAATCAAAGTTATACTCATCTCACAAGCAGCAGCCACTGGCCATATGCCAATGACAGTGCGACAAGGGAGAGGTAAACCTCAGGAACCAAGACAGGCTGTCATCAAAGAGAAATGAAGGGAAGGGATCGAAGGAGGAGGAGGAAGGAATTGATGGGTTGAAGGGGTCCTTCCCTGCAAGCTCCACGATTTATAGTGAGTGTGACATTTATGGGATAGAATACATCTTTATTGCTCGGCTTGGATCAGACCCTGATCATCTGTCCTGAGTCACCTGTCCCAGAGAGTCCTGGGCTCTCACTTCTCTCTGCTTTTCTCATGTGTGGAGAGAAGAAAAAAACAACAACAAAACTATAATCACAGATGCAGGTGAAATCGTGAAAAACGTAAATATCTGCTGGTGAGAATGAAAAAAAAAACCAAAACCCGAAACTTGCCAGCTTCCTAAGGAAAACAACTCCATCCTGGCCAAAGCTCCAATATTATCTTGTGTTCATTTAAAGGGAACACTGCTGAAACTCGAAAAGGGAATTCTACAATTCAGTCCCAGCAAAACCAGGACAGATTTTCTGAAATTTTGTCCCAGGTAAGAGTTACTGAATCAACTTGGATATCCCTGTAGAGACCTACAAATAAACCCTCTTTCAAATGGTGGTTTGATGGCTTGCTTGGTTTCCTTTTAGAAACAAAAATATGTAAGACTGCGCCAAAAGAGCCATAGACAGTAGCTACTGGTTGTTCATGGTTAACTCACATTTGTTTTGGTGAGTGTTCCCATGCCTCATAAGGCTTTTCTATGAAATCTTCATCAAAACTGAAGTTTTAGTGGTATTTGGATTTCAGCAATTTGGTGTTTCTGAAAGAACAGTTTTGTCCTAAATATTTTTTGTTTGTTTTTAAGGTTGTGTTTCCATTAGAAATGGCAGTGGTTGGTAACCTTCCAAAACATCCTCTCCATTCTACCTCAAGCTGAAGAAACTGGAATGTTTTAGGGGGAGGCAAAAATGAGGTTAACTGTTAAACAACAGAGGAAAAAGTTCACACCAAGTTGTTTATGTGTAAGGTTATCTGGAGCTTGTTGAACAGTTCTGGAGGTAAAGCAGGTATATACAAGAAGGAAAACAGCCCTTACTGGAGAAACAACTTCTAGGTGTATTGGTGAAATTCAGCATACTCCTGCAGGCTGGGAGGGTGAAGCATGCTTTCTGGCTGCCACCTGAGAGCCTGAACAAGGTGATCTCTAACCCCGAGCAAGCAATGAGGTCCCAGTCAGCTTGCAGCTAGCACAAGAGCAGCAGCATAGTCCTGTCCCCAGACAGCAGTGCCCGAGGCTGCCCCCTCCTTAGGATAAGAAAGTTTTCAGGGGTAGGGTAAGTCACACCACAGAAAGGGATGCGTTCGCGCATGCTCTTTCCCCCTTCCACTTACTCTCAGGCCGTGGAGAAGTGCCCTGTCAGCTCAGAGAGGATTGAGGGGAGGGAGAGGGCCCTGAGGGAATGGGAGCCTGGTAAGAAGTGGAAGGGAGTGTTTCTGGAGCTGTGTGGGAAGAGGAAGGGTGTGCAAAGTTGGGTTGCTAAATACTGTTACCACATTTTGTAATTGCGTAATTCAGTTTCTTCTTATTCAGTATTGGTCACAGATTCAAACTGGAATTAATAATCCTATCTGGTTATAGGCAGAGAAATGTCAAGTCATGTTTGCATATTAAGGTGTAATCAGTAAGCAGGACTGAGTACAGAACATCAAGACTTGTTGAGGCAACAGATGGACTTTGGATGTTGTGGGATAACCGGTATTTTTTAATTCCTGGTTAATCCTTCAGCTTGGTTTTTCAGTGCTTACCTCTACATAAAATTTTGTTCAGCTGGCTTTGGGTATAATGTGTTGTGAGAGTTCATGTCCTCAATCAGCTTTGGTGATTTAAAGGCGTCACTTTCTACCTCCTCAGCTCCCAAAAGCTGTTTAGGAGTAAAACTTGGTCAGAGTGGAGTGTCTAATTTTTGCAGTCCTGGTCTCAAGCTTGTAAGCTCTGTTAAAGAAGAGTTGATAAAAATTCAGTTCTTAAGACAAAAATTTGAAAACTAGACTGCCAAGCTAACAGTGGAACATGAAAGCTTGGGGGGAAAACTAAAATAAAAGCTTATGAAAAATTTTGCATTTTCTCACTTGCTTAATATTAGTGTGTATGCATTATGAGAGGTTTCTGTTACGTGGTAATAGGTTGCTTTTTTATATCAAATCCCCCAGGTGATTTGAGCTGGCCATGCTACATCCTTGTAGGATGCTGTTCTCGGGTAAACGTTGCACCTTCAGTCCTATATTGGTACTTAGATGCATTAACAAAGGTGGTAACAACCAATATCTGGCAAAAAAAAATGTTGAGGACCTGTTATGCACTAGTGTTTCTCTGGACTTGTGTGTATTATTAATTAACAGACAATGCGAGTGTATGTTCAGGCAGCAAGCTGTGTTGCTTTTTGAGCATAAGCTGATACACAAAAGCCAGTGTTGACTGCATAACTGATTGATTATGAGCAAGGGACAGCAGGGACCATCTTATATTGCCTTCTACTTGCAGTCGAATAGAGGAATCAGCGATAAAGGATGAATGCAAAGATTTCTCCTTATCTGTGCTCTTTTGCATGCCTTTTCCTGTGATAGATTTATTCCCATTTCTCTGTATGCTAATACCATTGTGATTATCCTTCCCAGTCAAACCCTTTGCAAAGGAGATGATGCCAAGTTGTTGTCTACTGCAGGGGAAGAAAAAAAAATTTAGAAATGGTGTCTCCAGACTCTTGTCTGTACTTACTCCTGACTGTTTTGGCCAGGTTTCTGTTTCTTGCCCCAGAACTGCTGTTAGTGTGTCAGCATGCTTTATTCTGCCTTATTAACAAACATTTAGGAAGGTCGCATAGCTTCAGTGAGTGCCTTTTCACAGAGGCTGAGTGTGCTGTCTCTGTACCATTGCTTGGTCTTTCAGAAGACATCTGCTTGATGGAGATGTGCAACTCCAAGATGATACGTCATTTTAAACCATCTCACAAAGTTTTGTCTTTCCTGCCCAGACAAGCTTTCTGCCTGCCCAGTCTGACTTTAACATTTACCTTAAGGCTTGCCCAGTGGGATCCTACTGGTGTCACAGTTATTTCCAGGTCCTGCTTACTCCAGTGTCAAAACCTTCTGGAGATTGGGAAATTGCCCAAAGTGTCTAAGATGGGCTGGGGCTAAATAACACATCCCCAGGTACTCTATAACTAACATAAGCCAGAGCTAACAGAGTGGTACTGAGTAAGAGAGGTGTTTCATGCCACTGAATCTAGGATACGTCTGAAGCTGAGGCAAAGATGCATGCTCTGAGGGAGGAATCTTGGCTTTCTCCACCCACCAGATTATTCTTGGCTGCAGTAACAAAGCAAGTATCAACAGTTAGAATCAGGCATGCATTCTGTGCAAATGCCTCATCTACATTATGACATCATATTTTTTATAATAATTTTTAATAATAAATAAGGTACTGATGCTGAATTTGTTGGCAATGTTTTAAGAATTTATTTAGAAACTGTAAAACAGCATAAACTCATATGTCAAGTTTTCCAAAAGGGTAGTAATAATAATAATAATAATAATCCACAAAATTTTAGTCGGACCAAAAGACAAAAAGCAGTTTGTTTCCAATTCAAAAAATACAAACGTTTGGTACAGGTACAAAATTATAAAAAGTTTGTATTTTCCTCTTGATCTGGTGACAGACACATACAGCAAAGATGTATATTTCACCAGCTCCAAATTCATATAAGCTATGGGAAATGATGATAAAGAAAAAAAAATGTTGTGATTAAGAAGAAAACACCGAAACAACTTCTCGTCTTTCATTTAACCAGAAGTGAACACTGTTATCTAATTCCTTTGCACTTTTTTGGTTGCCAACATTTAAATTAGTGTTATTCATGCTTCATATAACAATCAGAAATAACAGCAGGTTTACCTCATGCATTTATTTTTAATATTCATCACATAATGTCTTCTCACCATGCTACCTAGAAAGGTTAGTGTTTTTATTGACAACATTTAAGAGAGACGGAGGATGAAGGACTGCAATTGGGATCCAGGAATATTTGTATCTAGTGCTTCACAACAAAATGTTAGAAATCCTCCAATTAGCATCAAAAATAATTTTGTAAATAATTCTGCTCGGATCTGTTTCCAATAACCAATGTAACAAAAAGGTTGCTTAACAGAAGGGGAAAATGCTG